CCGTTTACATAGGGTGGCTGGAACTTGGAAGGATTGATTAATCAGGAGCATCAGCAAGGCAAACAGATGCAGAGAAGAGACCGAGATTGTACAGGTTGAGATTGTGTACTGGCGGGAATGAGTTCAAAACAACACGTAGGTTCAACGAAGTACAGCAAGTAGGTTGGTGCAGTAGGGCAGAACAAGGAGTGGCAAATGGATGCAAACGGCAACGGATGGAACCAGTGTGTTGAGTGCATGGGCAGTGGAGGAGTGCCAGCAGTGATGCGCACATGGCATGCAGCACCCAGTGGACAGAGCGGCACGCAGGTGGAGCAAACCCAGTGTGCCTCTTACAGAGATGCGAGTGCTTTGAGCGCAGAGATGCTGTCGGGAATGGAGACGGTGAGGGAGTTAGAGCTCAGATCCCTGTGTGGGTGAGGGAGTTGGACGTGGTGAGGCGAGAGGCTCAGAAGCCTATCCACAAAGGGTGGCAGGGACTTAAAATGATTGATCACTTAAGGGCTATTGCAAGGCAAGCGGGTGCACAGGAATGACAGAGATTGCAAAGATTGACTCTGTAGTTGCAGATTTGAGTTCTGCAGGTGGAGCACGCAGGTGGAGCAAACCCAGTGCACCTCTTACAGAGATGCGAGTGCCGCGAGCGCAGAGATGCTGTCGGGAATGGAGCCCACGAGCGAGTTGGAGCTGAGATCACTGTGTAGGGTTGAGTGAGTTGGACGTGATGAGACGAGAGACTCGTAAAAAACAGTCCGTTATTTACGATCATATAAAAAAAATCAGCTGTTCTTTTGCTTGAGAACCCAGGTCACAAATAACGAAGGAAAGAAAAAATGGTTGAATACTTTCACAATCATGGCCACAAAGGGCAACATGCAAGGAAGGGCTAACAACTATGTGCAGAACTTGATGAATTAGTACCCAGCTTCCCCTTCGTCCTGCTTAGTTATGGTCCCATGGTTTGGTGCCCCGCTAGTTTGATAACGACCGTCTAAAACGACGTTTCTTTAGAACCAAAGACCTCTTGGAACCATATTAAAGCGTTTTTAACGAGTTATTACATGCGTGCAAGTTACCTAATTACGCTTGACTAATAGTCGTCCAGGGCGATCTACAAAAGCAGATATAAAATGTTAGTTGATTGCTAGACTAGATCTACATAGATAGATTTACATAGTTGGCCTCTAATTGGTCGCATAATGGCCGTGCACGATCTAAAACGCTAGATCTAGTAGGCTGGCGGGTTGTACTGAAATGGTCCGTCAGATCTAGAAATGTTGATTCTTCACACCCACTGCTGCGGGGATCTGGACAAGAGGAGTATCAAATTAATCGCGAGTACAATCTGTACTCGCGAGATCACAATTACTCAATGAAAACACGAGTAAAAGGCGAGTATTTTTTACTCGAGAGCATTACTCGCTTCGCCTCGGACGAGGAAAAAATGCGATTTGCCCTACTCGTTATTCGCCTAAAACGAGTAATAAAAACGACTCGAGTTTTTTACTCGCCTCGTTGCCCTTGTCTTACCAAAAGGTCGATGCAGCATGGACGATTGAGGAGTGACAAAGTGATGCGGACAGCAGAGGGGGGGATGAGTGGGCATGCAGAGTTTTTGTTTGTTTGTTTTTTAAAAACACCCGTAAAAGTAGTTTGGTAAAAGCCGTCATTCTAACCGGTTTTAATCAATTCCAATAATGATTTCACTTTGATAAAAGGGACAACGTTGATGGCGAAAGTCAGTAGGAGGAAGAGGACGAAATCTTTTCTTGCATGTTTCCGATTGTGGCCATGATAGAAAACGTATCCAACTTTTTTTTTCTTTTTTCTTTTTTCGGGTAGCCCAAAATGTTAACTACTATTCAGACTAGGAACCTCTAAGCACACCTTTAGGCACCACTCAGTTATCCCCACGGGGTCACCTCCAAGGGTCCTCGGATGCCTGGTAAAACCAGCCCCTAACCAAGGGTCCGTGTTTGTAGAGGGGTTTCTCAAGTGTGAAACTAATCGTGTGCTCTAGAGTAGTCACAAACTCCGTTGCACTGCGTTAATTGACTGATTGGCTCGTGTGCAGATAATTCCCCTCACGTCAATACGATGATAGAGAATATTTGATTCACAAAAGGTTGATCACAAACAAACGTAAGCACAGATTAATGCTAACCCACCAAAAGCGAAAGCTAAAAGCGCACCAAAACAACAGCTAGCAACATACTCCGAATTACCAACTTTCACCACGCGAAATCAGTTGGAACATACTCGCCCACGAACGTTTATGTGGGCCATACTTGTTCGCGAAGTCTCGTGGACGCTCGTGGTGCTTCGTGGCGACCACTAGTGACAGCTCACAAGTTCTCCTGAAGAAATCGCGCATTTACACGACGAAATTAAGCTGTCGTCGAAACTTCCCTCGCACACTTCGCGCCAGTGTCGAATGTTAATCGCACGCTTCACGAAACACCCCGTAGCGAAATTCCTCTTGGGTAATAAGGACAATCAGCTCGAGGGTCCCACGAAATCTAACCTGGACCCACGCGCTCTCGTCCTTTCCCTCGCGCCACTTCACTGCCACACTTGCGCGTGTGGCAACGAATTCAATTGCTGCCTCAGGCCGCGCGTGTGCCACAATTGGCATGATTGGGCCTAAGGCGCAACAATGCTCAGGCTCATGGCCTCGAGCCTTGACCACCTCGATAAGGCGAATTCCCTTAAGCCTCACGATCAAACACGAAATTACGAACGAACTCATTAAAACAAATGAAAACACAAACTCCCAAACTTCACCTCAAAGCTCACGAACTCGCACGAAATCACACGAACGTTTCACGAACAGACTCACAAGCATTCACGACACTTTCACGAACACTCGTGACTCGCAGAACACACGAAACAACACGAGCACACACGAAACTCCGAACATGCGATTGACACGAACACTCGCCTTCACTTACGAAAACTCATGAACACTCACAAATGCAACCCTTCACAAAAACGCTCATAATTCATGAACCGTCGAGGCGATTCACGAACCGTAAACGCCCAAACATAAAGCATAGAAATGCGCACCTCACACATAACAAATTACTTTCAAACAGAAAACTTCATTTACCTTCACCACCGGCGAATAAGCGGTAGGTTGGCGTGCAAAAGCTCATATTGCACTCAACTAAAAAAAGATCTGCCGACCGGCCTGCGTCTTCGCATGCGTCTACGTCTCCTTCCTAAGCGTCTTCCTCAACATAGTTTGATCAAGGTTAAAAAAAAACGACCGTTTTTTTGAAAATTTACCGTACAAAACGGTATCGTAAAATTCGGTCGTAAAAACGGTTTAAATCGATTCCAGGAGGTGTTTCCTGTTTAACTAACAAAACGGCCACTTAGTGGGGCCAAATTGAACCCGAAATGCAGCAGCATGAAGGGGACAGACCCCTTCTTGCATGTATGAGCTTGTTGGCATGATTGAAAATGTTTTTGGCCTTGTTTTTTTTTTTCTTTTCTTGGTGAACAAAGTTCTCTAACAAAAAAAAACGACAGTTTTTTTTTTTCATCTCCGTAAGAAAACGACCGTATAAAACGGACCGTATTTTACGAAAACGGTAATTTTGAACCTTGAGTTTGATGGTATCTTTTGGGGAAAACAAAGTATATACGTTTATTTGTAACACATACATACTCATATGTTGAAATAACCATAAAAAAGCTTCACAGCATCCCCTGGTCTGGTGCATCACCAACACTTCAAAAAGCTACCTCGTCGTACTTACAAAACAAATGCCTATGGAACAACATAGACATGAGCGAAAACTCAAACGCCTGTTCAGTTCGACTCGAACATGTTCGGTTCGTCGCGCCTTTTTTTGCATGGTATGACGAACATTGAACAGTAAAGTGTTCGCGTCTAAAATAGCATGCCAAGCTGGCGTACTGGTTGTATATATTCCTCAGAGTTGGATGTAGTGTGCAGATTAGGTATAGCGTAGTAGCGGGAGTAGATTAGCGTATGAAGTGAGTGTGTGTTTTTGCTTGCGTTAGTTATGTGTATGGGGCGGAATTAGGAGGTGCATTGTGGTACTGCCGGTTTTGGGTGGGATGGATGGGCTGGCTGGTTGGGCAAATTTTGCGAAATCGCCGTCGCGAATAGAGTCCAATGCAGATCAATTCAAACGTGCGAAATGTGAAATATTGAAAACATTCTCGCACCCAACCGATTGTGTTTCCCGTCAGCCCAGGAAGAAAAACCCAACCACAATACACCGATTGTGTTTCCCGTCATTCTCCCACCGATATGGCGCTTTTTTTTTCCACTAGGCTCCCCAGCCTAGCAAAGTCTTGGATGACTTAGGGAAACCCCATGAACATCTTCGGGTTCGCCTCGAACATGGTGATGTTCGGGAAATCTGTGAAATGTTCGCCCCTGCAAAACGAACATCGAACACCCCTAAACCTACAAAAATGTTTGATGTTTGGTTCGGTTGCAAGACATGTTCGGCATTTTCGACTCAAACACGTAGTTTGACAGTTGCTCATGTCTTGTCTAGTACAACAGCAGGTTAGAAACCTAATAAGAAAAATAGTAGGTGTTTTTTTCCCACAAAATTAGTCGTTTGTTATGAAAACGTTTTGATACAGAATGAGCCTGGAAGAAAAAAAAACGGGGAAAATAAAACGTTATGCACCTTGGCCAGCAGTGATGATATGCACATAGAAAGAGAAAACCCAGGGTGCCTCTTACAGGTATGCGAGTGCATCGAGCCAGTGGATGCCATAGGGAATGGAGCCATTGAGAGAGTTGGAGTTGAGAACCCTGTGTGGGGGTGAGTGAGTTGGACGTGATGAGAGGAGAGGCTCAAATCCCTGTCCCGATGGCTGGAATTTGGAAGGCATGATCATTATAAAAAGGGCTAAAGCAAGGCAAATGGAGAGGACTGTGATTGTACATGCTGAGCTAGTGTAGTGGCAGTTGTGAGCTCTGCTGAACTGATGAAGCTGTCAGAAGGTTGATGCAGCACATACGAGTTAGGAGTGGCAAAGTGATGCAAACAGCAGAGGGGGGGGGGGGGGGGGGGGGGGGGGGGGGGGGGGGGGGGGGGGGGGGGGGGGGGGGGGGGGGGGGGGGGGGGGGGGGGGGGGTGGGCATGCCAAGAGCATGGGCAGTGCCAGTGGAGCACCCAGTGGCAGACGCGGTGTGCCTCTTACAGGTGTGAGATCCTTAGTAGGAGGATGGTACAAGCCTGAGAGGCTAGAACAATGTTCTTTGCCAAGGATGCTTTCTAGACAAGTGAGAAGCCACATATATGTGGCTAAACTCTTGAGGCTAGCTGCAGCACCTCAAAGCTGAGGGCAAGGCTAGCCAACCTTGCCAAGCTAGCAACTGAGGCACAACCTACATGGCAGCATGTGGCACACCATAGTGGCCAGCAAGGTGAGTATGGGATGAGTGGACACATGGCAAAGCCAACTGTCACCACACTTCACTGTGGGTGAGTGTGGTGGAGTGTGGGAATGTCATGTTGGGCATAATGAGAAGAGAGTATGCAACTCCTGAGAGATGAACCCACGACCTCTAAGACCAAAGGTGATAATCTACTCACTGGGACATTCTTGCTTGCACAACACCTGTCCACAGACAGTGGCAAGAGCTTAAAAAGATTTCTCAATTAAGGAGGGATAGAGAAAGGCAAGCGAATGTAGAGGACCGACGGAGATTACAGGGTGGTGTAGTGGAAGCTGTGAGTACTCTAAAAGCGTGAAGTGGAAATAGGAGCAAACAGCAAAGAGGTAGATGAGAGGGCGTGCAGAGTGCATGGGCAGTGGAGGAGTGCCAGCATTGATGCGCACATGGTGTGCAGCAATCATTAAGCTGATAACACCTATTGGGATCTAGAAGCTACTAAGCTAAATGACGGAAGACACTAATTGTTTGGGTAAAAAAAATCAATTAGGCCGAAAAAAAAAAAATCGCGGGTTGCCCCAAAAAATGGTTAGCCTGAAAAATTCTGTAGAAGGTTTTTTTTCGCTGCCCGGACGTTTTTTTAGGCCTGCCCGAGTTTTCGTCTAATATGCGTCTAATCTGGCCTGAAATGTGTCTAGCGTCTTAGGCGTTGCGTCTAGACGCAACCGTCTCAGACGCTAGGCGCGGCTTCCGTCACATAGCTACTAAGCACACCTTTAATTCACATTTAATAGTCCCCACAAGGTCACGTCCAAGGGTCCATCAGTACCTGGTAAAGCCGGCCCCTAGCCAAGGATCCGTGTTTGTAGAGGAAAACAATAAGTGCAAAAAGTATCGTGTACAATAGGGCGTTCCCAAAACTCCTTGCGCAACGCTATGACAACGAACTGGTCGTGTGCAGAAATGTGTCTACCCAATAGGTTGATGTTAGAAATAAGCTGTCGACACTTTGTGTACTATATTCTATATCGAGTAGGTTATTTGCGGGTTGGGTGTAGTTTGTAATCCCAGCCTTATCTGGTTGGAACTCCCTCGTAGTCTTGCAAATTTGCCACCTCACCCATTAGAGATTTGCTAGGATTGATGAGCTCGAGAGGCGTATAGCAAGGCAAGCAAATGCAGAAGACTCAGAAGGACTGTACAGATTTGTGTAGTGACAGATATTATTCCGAGGTAGTTAAATAGGTGTACTGGGTTTCGACGTTTAGGAACGGAGGTCTAAGAATGAATTACAACAAGAGGGAAGAACACAGAGTGGTGAAGCGATGCAGACAGCAGAGGTGGGAAGGAGTGGGCGTGCAGAGAGCATGAGCAGTGGAGGAGTGCCAGCAGCGATGCGCACATGGTATGCAGCATCCAGTGGACAGAGCAGCACGCAGGTGGAGCAAACCCAGTGTGCCTCTTACAGGTATTTGAGGTTCGTCAGCGCAGAGATGCTGTCGGGAATGGAGCCCGTGAGAGAATTAGTGTTGAGATCCCTGTGTGGGTGAGTGAGTTGGAGGTGACGAGACGAGAGGCTCAAATTTCTGTCCACAGAGGGTGACTGGAACTCAAAAGGCATAATTAGTTCGGGAGGGCTAGAGCCAGGACGAAGGGGACTGCAATTCTGAAGGCTGAGATAATTTTGTGGCAGCTATGAACTCTGCTGAAGGAATGAAGCAACCAGATGGTTGGTGCAGCATGGACAATCGAGGAGTGGCAAAGCGATGCAGACAGCAGTGGGGGGGAGGAGTGAGCATGCTTAGAGAATGGGCAGTGGAGGTGTGCCAGCAGTGATGCGCACATGGCATGCAGCACCCAGTGGACAGGGCAGCACGCAGGTGGATCAAACCCAGTGTGCCTCTTACAGGTAACGGAGTGCAGTGAGCGCAGCGATGCTGTCGGGAATGGAGCCCGTGAGGTTGTTATTGTCGAGAAACCTGTGTGGGTGAGTGAGTTGGAGGTGACGAGACGAGAGGCTCAAATTTCTGTCCACAGAGGGTGGCTGGAACTCAAAAGGCATAATTAGATCGGGAGGGCCAGAGCGAGGATTAAGGGGACTGCAATTCTGAAAACTGAGATAATTTAGTGGCAGCTCTGAGCTCTGCTGAAGGAATGACGCAACCAGATGGTTGGTGCAGCACGGACAATCGAGGAGTGGCAAAGCGATGCAGACAGCAGTGGGGGGGGAGGGGGGGGGGTGAGCATGCTTAGAGAATGGGCAGTGGAGGAGTGCCAGCAGTGATGCGCACATGGCATACAGCACCCAGTGGACGGGGCAGCACGCAGGTGGAGCAAACTCAATGTGCCTCTTACAGGTATGCGAGTGCAGTGAGCGCAGAGATGCTGTCGGGAATGGAGCCCGTGAGAGAATTAGTGCCGAGATCCCTGAATGGGGTGAGTGAGTTGGAGGTGACGAGACGAGAGGCTCAAATTTCTGTCCACAGAGGGTGGCTGGAACTCAAAAGGCATAATTAGATCGGGAGGGCCAGGGCGATTAAGGGGACTGCAATTCTGAAGGCTGAGATAATTTAGAGGCAGCTGTGAGCTCTGCTGAAGGAATGAAGCAACCAGATGGTTGGTGCAGCACGGACAATCAAGGAGTGGCAAAGCGATGACAGGAGTGGGGGGGAGGAGTGAGCATGCTTAGAGAATGGGCAGTGGAGGTGTGCCAGCAGTGATGCGCACATGGCATGCAGCACCCAGTGGACAGAGCAGCACGCAGGTGGAGCAACCCGGTGTGCCTCTTACAGGACTTCGAGGTTCGAGAGCGCAGCGATGCTGTCGGGAATGGAGCCCGTAAGGTTGTTATTGTAGAGATGCCTGTGTGGGTGAGTGAGTTGGAGGTGACGAGACGAGAGGCTCAAATTTCTGTCCACAGAGGGTGGCTGGAACTTAAAAGGCATAATTAGATCGGGAGGGCCAGAGCGAGGATTAAGGGGACTGCAATTCTGAAGGCTGAGATAATTTAGTGGCAGCTGTGAGCTCTGCTGGAGGAATGAAGCAACCAGATGGTTGGTGGTGCAGCACGGACAATCAAGGAGTGGCAAAGCGATGCAGACAGCAGTGGGGGGGAGGATTGAGCATGCTTAGAGAATGGGCAGTGGAGGAGTGCCAGCAGTGATGCGCACATGGCATGCAGCACCCAGTGGACAGAGCAGCACGCAGGTGGAGCAACCCGGTGTGCCTCTTACAGGACTTCGAGGTTCGAGAGCGCAGCGATGCTGTCGGGAATGGAGCCCATAAGGTTGTTGTTGTTGAGATTCCTGTGTGGGTGACTGAGTTGGAGGTGAGGTGACGAGACGAGAGGCTCAATTTTCTGTCCACAGAGGGTGGCAGGAACTCAAAAGGCATAATTAGATCGGGAGGGCCAGAGCAAGGATTAATGGGACTGAATTCTGAAGGCTGAGATAATTTAGTGGCAGCTGTGAGCTCTGCTGAAGGAATGAAGCAACCAGATGGTTGGTGCAGCACGGACAATCGAGGAGTGGCAAAGCGATGCAGACAGCAGGAGGGGGGGGGGGGGGGGGGGGGGGGGGGGGGGGGGGGGGGGGGGGGGGGGGGGGGGGGGGGGGGGGGGGTGAGCTTGCTTAGAGAATGGGCAGTGGAGGAGTGCCAGCAGTGATGCGCACATGGCATGCAGCACCCAGTGGACAGAGCAGCACGCAGGTGGAGCAAACCCAGTATGCCTCTTACAGCCACGGAAGGTTCGTGAGCACAGAGATGCTGTCGGGAATGGAGCCCGTGAGAGAGTTAGTGCTGAGATCCCTGTATGCGGTGAGTGAGTTGGAGGTGACGATACGAGAGGCTCAAATTTCTGTCCACAGAGGGTGGCTGGAACTCAGAAGGCATAATTAGATCGGGAGGGCCAGAGCGAGGATTAAGGGGACTGCAATTCTGAAGGCTGAGATAATTTTGTGGCAGCTGTGAGCTCTGCTTAAGGAATGAAGCAACCAGATGGTTGGTGCAGCACGGACAATCGAGGAGTGGCAAAGCGATGCAGACAGCAGGAGGGGGGGGGGGGGGGGGGGGGGGGGGGGGGGGGGGGGGGGGGGGGGGGGGAGTGAGCATGCTTAGAGAATGGGCAGTGGAGGAGTGCCAGCAGTGATGCGCACATGGCATGCAGCACCCAGTGGACAGAGCAGCACGCAGGTGGAGCAAACTCAATGTGCCTCTTACAGGTAACGGAGTGCAGTGAGCGCAGAGATGCTGTCGGGAATGGAGCCCGTGAGAGAATTAGTGTTGACATCCCTGTATGGGGTTGAGTGAGTTGGACGTGACGAGACGAGAGGCTCAAATTTCTGTCCACAGAGGATGGCTGGAACTCAAAAGGCATAATTAGATCGGGAGGGCCAGAGCGAGGATTAAGGGGACTGCAATTCTGAAAGCTGAGATAATTTAGTGGCAGCTGTGAGCTCTGCTGAAGGAATGAAGCAACCAGATGGTTGGTGCAGCACAGACAATCGAGGAGTGGCAAAGCGATGCAGACAGCAGTGGGGGGGAGGATTGAGCATGCTTAGAGAATGGGCAGTGGAGGAGTGCCAGCAGTGATGCGCACATGGCATGCAGCACCCAGTGGACAGAGCAGCACGCAGGTGGAGCAAACCCAGTGTGCCTCTTACAGGCTTTCGAGGTTCGAGAGCGCAGAGATGCCGTTGGGAATGGAGCCCGTGAGGTTGTTATTGTAGAGATACCTGTGTGGGTGAGTGAGTTGGACGTGTCGAGACGAGAGGCCCAAATCCTTGTTCACGGCCTTTGGCCGGCTGGAACTTACTACTAGGATTGATGAGCTCGGAAGGCCTATAGCAAGGCAAGCAAATGCAGAGGACTGACAAGGACTGTACAGATTAAGACTGCGTAGTGACAGATATGTGTTCTGCCGAGGTAGTAAAACAGGTGTACTGGGTTTTGAGGTTTAGGAACGAAGGTATAAGAATAATTACAACAAGAGGGAAGAACACGGAGTGGTGAAGTGATGCAGACAGCAGAGGTGGGAAGGAGTGGGCGTGCTGAGAGCATGGGCAGGGGAGGAGCCAGCAGTGATGCGCACATGGCATGCAGCACCCAGTGGACAGAGCAGCACGCAGGTGGAGCAAACCCAGTGCGCCTCTTACAGCCCAAATCTGAGTGCCGTGAGTGCGGAGATGCTGTCGGGAATGGAGCCGTTGAGAGAGTTAGTGCTGAGATTCCTGTGTGGGTGAGTGAGTTGGACGTGACGAGACGAGAGGCTCAAATCCTTGTTCACGGACATTGGCCGGCTGGAACTTACTACTAGGATTGATGAGCTCGGAAGGCCTATAGCAAGGCAAGCAAATGCAGAGGACTGACAAAGACTGTACAGATTAAGATTGTGTAGTGACAGTTATGAGTTCTGCCGTGGTAGTAAAACAGGTGTACTGGGTTTTGAGGTTTAGGAACCAAGGCATAAGAACGAATTACTACAACAAGAGGGAGGAACACGGCGTGGTGAAGCGATGCAGACAGAAGAGGGGGGAAGGAGCGGGGGTGCAGAGTGCATGGGCAGAGGAGGAGTGCCAGCAGTGATGCGCACATGGCATGCAGCACCGAGTGGACATGGCAGCACGCAGGTGGAGCAAACCCAGTGTGCCTCTTACAGATGTTGGAGGTTCGCGAGAGCAGAGATGCTGTTGGGAATGGAGCCGTTGAGAGAGTTAGACATGATCCGCCTGTGTGGGTGAGTGAGTTGGACGTGACAAGACGAGAGGCTCAAATCCTTGTTGACGGACTTTGGCCGGCTGGAACTTACTACTAGGATTGATGAGCTCGGAAGGCCTATAGCAAGGCAAGCAAATGGAGAGGACTGACAAAGGCTGTACAGATTAAGATTGCGTAGTGACAGATATGAGTTCTGCCGAGGTAGTAAAACAGGTGTACTGGAATTTGAGGTTTAGGAACCAAGGCATAAGAACGAATTACTACAACAAGAGGGAGGAACACGGCGTGGTGAAGCGATGCAGACAGCAGAGGTGGGAAGGAGTGGGCGTGCAGAGAGCATGGGCAGTGGAGGAGTGCCAGCAGCGATGCGCACATGGTATGCAGCATCCAGTGGACAGAGCAGCACGCAGGTGGAGCAAACCCAGTGTGCCTCTTACAGGTATTTGAGGTTCGTCAGCGCAGAGATGCTGTCGGGAATGGAGCCCGTGAGAGAATTAGTGTTGAGATCCCTGTGTGGGTGAGTGAGTTGGAGGTGACGAGACGAGAGGCTCAAATTTCTGTCCACAGAGGGTGACTGGAACTCAAAAGGCATAATTAGTTCGGGAGGGCTAGAGCCAGGACGAAGGGGACTGCAATTCTGAAGGCTGAGATAATTTAGTGGCAGCTGTGAGCTCTGCTGAAGGAATGAAGCAACCAGATGGTTGGTGCAGCACGGACAATCGAGGAGTGGCAAAGCGATGCAGACAGCAGTGGGGAGGAGGAGTGAGCATGCTTAGAGAATGGGCAGTGGAGGTGTGCCAGCAGTGATGCGCACATGGCATGCAGCACTCAGTGGACAGAGCAGCACGCAGGTGGAGCAAACCCAGTGCGCCTCTTACAGGTATGTGAGTGCACTGAGCGCAGAGATGCTGTCGGGAATGGAGCCCGTGAGGTTGTTTTTGTAGAGATGCCTGTGTGGGTGAGTGAGTTCGACGTGACGAGACGAGAGGCTCAAATCCTTGTTCACGGACTTTGGCCGGCTGGAACTTACTACTAGGATTGATGAGCTCGGAAGGCCTATAGCAAGGCAAGCAAATGCAGAGGACTGACAAAGACTGTACAGATTAAGATTGCGTAGTGACAGATATGAGTTCTGCCGAGGTAGTAAAACAGGTGTACTGGGTTTTGAGGTTTAGGAACGAAGGTATAAGAATGAATTACAACAAGAGGGAAGAACACGGAGTGGTGAAGCGTCCTGGGGCAATGTTAGCAGTGGCAATGGGGAACAGAAGGATAAGGGGAAGGTGGGAGAAATGTATGTGATAGCCGATGGAAGCGTCTGGCTGGCAGGCAGCAAATGGTGCGAGGATGGCAGCAGGAAGCGCCTATTCCATGATACGATAACAGCGCGCATGTACTCACAACGCCGTAATCATGCCTTTAGCGTCACAACTGATTCCTCTCGCAGTGCTGCACTTGACTTCCCACCGCCCATCCCGGTAACCTCGTTCCCCATGCCGTCTGGCTGTCTTTGAGGAACGCGGCTGACGCGTTGGGGAGAAGAGAGGGCAAAAGTGAAGACGCGGAATTCAATGACAGCCTCCCTTCAACTTCTGACCCGCGACACCCGACTGACGAGGCTGCGAGACGTGCGGGCACATGGGAGAGAGGCACGGTATAGAGGGGATTCCTACCTCCCTCTACCCAGTTTCACAACTTCTGATAGTCTCGAGGCATCGCAAGCCATACGAGCAGAGGGTGGGAGGTGGGCGAGAGGGCCGCGGGCGGTGGTACTACTAGTCCAGTGTTTAGTACCTTGTGAAGGATTGATCCGTTGCGCGTGGCACGACGAGGCAGCATTGAAAGCGACAAGCCAGAGCGCCATGGCGAGCGCTGATGAGAGCGCAGCGGGGAGTGCTGGGACGCCGGTAAGCCATGATGCGCGCTCGAGATTCCTCATCCAAGCGCCGGCGGTTCTAGCTGGAATCGACTTGCGGCGGTCGGCTTCGGTTCAATCAGATTTCGACAACAGTACTAATAGCGTCACGCTACGATGATGACGACGAGTGGCTGTGAAACTCTACTGCTGGCTTCCGAGTATGTGAGAATCCCATAGTTGGCATGAGATGTGAACTCAAAGAGTTTCACTAGAATGAAAAAGAAGCATACATAGTGATTGGAGGGTAAGCTCGGAAGGGGAGCTTGGAAGGAAGAGAGTTGGATGGTGGTGGTTGGTTTGGCATCATTTGGGGAAGTGTTGCCAACCTATGGTCCATTGGTTGGGTTGGCAACATTTGGGAAAGTGTTGTCAACCTATGGCCGTTTGGGTTGGGTTGGCAACATTCTCCAAATGTTGGCACCCTAACGACCAATGGGTTGGATTTTGGGGCTCCACCACAATTGGGTTGGATTGACTCCCCAACATGCAAGGCTACACCCAAAGCTGGGTGTAGTCCCACCCAGCTGTACAGTACACTTGGTGTACAGTCACAAAAGGCTTAGCATGCTATAATATAATTCTAACAGAGTATCGTACTACTAACCACGCCGAAAAGTAGTGACCGTGATAGGCTGCGGCTTACGGTCACACCGACATGTGGGCGAGTAGTAGTGAAAGAACAACATCGGAAAAACACGGTCGACAGAAGTTACAAGAATCCTGCAGCAAAGCAGCATTGGCGTACCCTGTCTGACACATGCTTGGGAGAGGGTGGAAGAGTTGCTTTGCGGTAGGTTGGGTTCGAGCTCAATCCGACGGGAAATCGTGCGACAAATCGCGGCCGCACATCTGAAGATGACTGAAAGCAACTTCGTTGCAATTCTGATTGTGAAAGCAAATCGCGGCCACCATCGCGATTGTGTGATTGTGGTTGACGGTAGCTTTGGTTTTGTGTTGTTTTCATCGTGTTCGACGTGGCCTG